CACACACACACACACACACACACACACACACACACACACACACACACACACACACACGAGACATTGAGAAGAAACGTTCAAGCACCTGGGAACACAGAGTTTCCGAGAAGTTGCAAAGCAGAGAAACTCATTCTCAAAGCAGTCAGTTGACCCCACAACAAGGGGGCGTTCAACCACCGCCCAAGATAACCTTCGTTGCATCAAACAGCCCAAGGAGGAGAATCAAACTTGCCGGGAAGGTGTGAAAACCACTTCAGGACTTCACTCTTTTATAACCCTGTTTTCAGGGTGTTCTTGGTCATGTTGCACATTCCAGGTAGTATATAAATATTCATTAACTTACCCTTATGAAACCCTGCCTGGTTCAAGTCCCTTGTGGGGGAGCTGTAGTGAAAGCCATAATTACCCAACAGCCTGATGTGTTGGCTTTCTTAATTAAGGGATAGGCCTTTGCTTTCGTTCTCTCCCAACCTCTTTCCCCCCCCCTCCCCACCTCCTCGTTCTTTGCTGCCTTCCAACGCTTCCAATCCAGCGAAGAAAACGTGATGTTACATGTAGCTGGAAAGAGGAGACGATTTGGGGATGGCTCGAGGGGGGATCCACATGCCGAAAGTTGGAAGGTCCCCCTGTCAAAGCGAAAGATTCAGCAACATACTAAACAGTGTTTCCCAACTGAGGCCAATCAAGCCAATGGGGGGGGGGGCTGGAAAGGGAGGTGATGGGTTCTTAATTTCCTTTTCTTTTTTTAAATAGTTTCTATTACACATTTTAATCTTTAAAAAAAACAGAAAGAAAAACACAACAAGAAAAAACACAAAACACAAAACGTACATAATAATATCAAGTAATTTATACAGCTTCATTTATCGCTATTCATGATTAGCCTTTATAGTTCTCCATTCCGCACTGCCTTCCTATTGTTTTTACCTTGTCCTATAATATAATATCCTTTTTAAATAGGAACTTCCTGTAGGCAGGTGATGTCCATGTTTTGTTTTGGGAGTTTAGAAATTGTTTGTCTTATTTCTATAGGTGAATTTAGTCCATTTATATGGACAGATATTAATTTCCCTTCTTCCTCCATCTTGTTACTTGTTTGTTCTTAATTTTCTAAAGCCCTTGCGAAAAAGCCAAAGCTGCTAATTATAAACAAAGCTAAATACTTACTCTTGTGGAGAAAATAGGCATGTGTGCCTGTGTGTGTGTGTGTGTGTGTGTGTGTGTNAAAAAAAAAAAAAGTTGAAAGTGACATCTGAAATCAATCACCAATTCATGTACCCTGGCAACTTTCCTATATTTACATATTTCTAAATAGTGTTAAGTTGCCAATATCCAAAATAGCCATGCTAAAATATAATAAAATGGTTGATTGAAATAGTAGTTAAACGCAGCGGGAATAAAACTACTAAAATAGGCCATATGCAGCAGTAATATAAACAGATTAAAAAGGCCTACAGGAATAAAAATGTATTTGCCTCACACTAAAAATAACAGAATAGACAGCAGGTGGACCTCTTTATAAAACTAATTCCATAGCTAAGGAACTTTTACTGTAAAACCCTGCTTCTGTTTTGCCATCCAATATGCCTAAGCATATACCCTGATATTTTTGTAAGCAGAAAAGTCAGAATGCATTGTGTTTGATTTTGAACATTTCTGGTATCTGGAAAACCTTGCTTTTTACCTCAGGGATGAAGACAGACAAGAACTCTTCAGGGTAAGGAGAAAGACTACAGCATTTTATTGTTACCTGTAGCCACAACAGTCACAAACTTAGATCCAAAATGTCCATCTGGAGACAAGCGACATATGTTTGGCTGCTGGTTCTGAAAATGCCCAGCTGTAATACATTCTTCTGCACTAAGGAAAAAGGCATCCTATAGAGGAAGAAAAGACAACACAACACAGGTGAGCATTTTTAAGGAAACCTATCAGGATTTATTTATTTTTAAGTATAAATTAATATCCAGCATAGAGTATCATCCTGGAAAAAGATTAGCCACTTATCAGGTGATCCTCATACCTGTGAATTTTCATTACTTTACCATGTTTTCTGACAAAATAGAAGAAGAATTGAGATTAGGGTATTTGGTTTTTCTTGATATAAGAAATTACAAGCAGAATCTGGGCTTTGTATAATAGATAATTTAAACAAGACATTAGGGAAATGAATTGGGAAATTAGATTTGAAAATAAAAGATAAATCATGTTATCTATTTGATTTCTAGTTGAAAACATTTAAGACCAATTTTAAACATTTATCTTTTATCAGTTGACATTTCAACATGTCTTTACCAGCATGCATATTTAAATGACCTAACAATTTTTTACAAAACAATGAAAAATATGCGCTATTCTTAAGGTTTTCATACTGCCTGACTTTCCAAGGGACCGCTATACCTCTATACAAAAAAAACAACAACCCTGCATTAAGTTTTGATCTCACCGGTATTCGGTAGTATCTCAGTGGTACAATGCTATCAGCTTTAGACTTAGTCTATATATTTCAATTTCATCAAGGTAGAAAAAGAGCAATAGAAATAGTTAAACTTTCCTGTTTCAGTTTTGTTTGCAAAATAATGTCCAGCTAAGATATTTATTAAAATATTATAGAAGATTCAACACTAAAAGGGTTGGAATTAGGAGGAAAAAATTGAAAACTGATTAGCATAAAAGAACTGGAATAAATGTGGGAAACATTCAGTTATTAGATATTCAGCTTACTTTTAGGTGATATAGTTTCACAGCAAAAAATCTTTTAAAAAAAACACTACAGGCAAGATGACTGCTAGGGAAGTTTTGTTTTAAAAAAGTCTCAGCAGGTGACAGGATTCAGCTCACCTTGTCCGTGTTCAGAAGCTAAGTGGCTTCAGGCCTTGGTTAGTGCTTTGATGGGAGAGATCTAGGGCTATAGACCAGGAAGTAAAAAAAAAGCCACCTTGTAAAAAGGTAAACCAAGGTGGCGCAGTGGTTAAATGCAGCACTGCAGGCTACTGCTAGATCAGCAGGTCACCGGCTCAGGGTTGACTCAGCCTTCCATCCTTCCGAGGTGGGTAAAATGAGGACCCAGATTGTTGGGGGCAATATGCTGACTCTCTGTAAAC